GAAACTTACTTCTTCAGATTTGTTACTTACTATTAGACTTCATTTAATCTTCGTTAAGATGACATTATTTGTATCGTTAATTTTATCGGAAGTTTCATAATGGATATGATAAAATGGAGTTGAATTATATTTATAACAGATATCATGTTTAAAAACAAGAATTGTGATCTTTGCGTGCGTGTGTGTATCGTATATTGATCATAATTTTGAGATATGTATAAAATGCAATTGCAATAAAGTATGTTTTTATAGGCTCCGAATGACATTGCGATTTAGGTACGATTGCGATTTAGGTGCGGGAGCTATGCGATTTGGGAGCGATGCGATTAGTTAGAATGGTGAATGGAGATACGATTTGAGAGCGATGCGATTACCAATATTCTTGAATGGCAATACGATTTAGAAACGATTCAAAATTAAAATTACCAAAAAGAACATTAGTTCTATTATCATTATTTATTTGTTCTTTTATATATATATATATTAAGAAACACTAGTTATATTATATTTGTTTGTTCATTTGTATAATTTTTTTTAATCTCACAAACTTTAATTATTTTTCATAGATATATGATTTACTAAAAATATGATATCATATATCATATCTATATGTACCATGTCAATCTAAAACAGACTAATTATAATAAAATCTTAAATATTGGATACGGAGTGTTTACATACGTATCATTTGATCTGTATGAAAACAAACATCAGTTTCTATTGTTATTGCTTTGTCAAAACAAACATGATATTGGATACGAAGTGTTTAACAAACATCAGTTTCTACTGTTATTGCTTTGTCGAAACAAACATGATATTGGATACGAAGTGTTTAACAAACATCAATTTCTATTGTTATTGCTTTGTCGAAACAGAGTGTTTTACATTTGATATGAATGAACAATATCAGTAAACTACCCAGGAAATACCCATAAAACGTTCAGCAATATCAGTTCGGATGCATAGCATATAAGCATCTCCAGTAGGATCGTATCGGGTATGTATGAGATTTTCATGATTTGCATCTAAATCCAACTGCGTTGGCTCTGCATTTGCATCTAAATCCAATTGCGGTTCTGTCACAAAATCTTCAATCCTTTCAAACTCACTAAAATCTTCACCAACCA